GTTGAGAGGCGGTTTCCATAGCAACTTCTGCATACAGCACGTTCTGGAGAGAGCTGAAGAAGAGGAAGAACTGAAAAGGTGAAATTTCATTATTTGAGATTCTTTTTGTGAAATAAATCAAATGAACATGTTTTGTACAGCCCACAGATGGATCCTAACTTGTGCTAAGACCCCCATAATAGGCCGCCTTTAATGTTTTTCTGATGATTAATTGCACACGATACGATTACGCCCAACCCTACATCATACTTATCGGTCCGATATCATAACAAACAGAACTGATAATATACGTTCATGTTTGCCAGTGGGAATGTGTGTTTATTTTTATCCTTTTTGGTCAAGCTGCTTCCAGTCCAGCACAACCCGAGCAACGTTCAAGTGGTGTCGGAAAAAAAAAACTTTCTCACTAGAAAAATAATTAGAATACTCTGTGCTGGAAAACAACCAATCATTTAAGAATTATTAATATTATTTTACCAATTAACCCTGTATGTTACACACAAACTTTATAATTATAAACAAAAAGGTCTGAACGACTCCCAATTTGAGAACATATAAAGTCTGTTACCTGCTGAACACAGCACACAGTCCATCTGCTAAAAATGCTAACGACAACAAGCTAGCGTTGAAGAACTTGTCGGGACTTAAATCATTGCTGAGGCTTTTGACAAATCAAAACAAATTGCCGGAGAGCACGCAGATCTCAAGCACTTTAACAATGGAAATGATGGAACTTCAGGGCTCGAGAGTGCGACCAATTTGGTCACAAATACGACCTAATTTCCCAATAGTACGACTAAAAAAATAAATTAAAAAAAAGTCCGGTCGCACTGGAGCAACCAATCGTTCAAGGAGGGGGAGCAGTCGCCCGCTGAAACAAAACGTTTCCATGTTCCATAAAACAAATGAATCCAGCAGTATCAACAGTCGCCCGCCGACACAGTCTCCATGTCTCCTAATACTGCGCTGTGCTCACGGGTTCCATGTGTGCGCATGCATGCACGCACGCACGCACGCACGCACACACACACCTCATGGGGACTTTGTATTGGCTTCCACTCATTTCCCTGTCAATTCTATAGCCAACCATAACCTCCCAGGTAGACTACACACCTGACCCAAACCCTAACCTCACCAGGCTGTGTGTACTGGGAAAATGGTCAATAACTGTACCCATCATGAAGCAAAAACATGTACATGTACACACACATGCGCACGTGTGCATGCACACTCATAGCGAAACAACCGTAGTTTTATTTATTTAGATTTGTTTACCCAGATCGGAGTCTGAAAACTTGTTTTTCTTTTTAACTGTGGAGATGAAAACAAGATGTGGACGGTTGCTTGTTCTTAAGTCCATCTTGTTAATTTAACAGTTGGGGTCTATGTGAGCAGATCATTTCAGCAGCATGAGGAAGCTCAACTGTATGGCAGGCCGCTTTCGCACTTAATCGACTTCACCACAGTTACATTCCAAGTATATAAAATAGGTTCTTCTGGGTCTCAAGAGGATAAGACTAGACATATTAGATATTTAAGTGAAATAATATAAGATAATTAGATTCAACTAATGCTAATGAAATTGCAGACTTTTATGTGTTTTGTTATTTTTAAAAATGCTGCACAACCTTTTAATATCAGTAATATTTCCGTTATTAATCAATATTCTCTGTTCATCATTCTGGTTTAGGCCAAAGATCCATAGGACCAAACTACAGGAGTCGTCCATCTGACGGACAGATGTCTAAAAGAAACTTAACCATGAAATATTTAAGATGTTTATAATATGTTCAGCTATTAAACATTTGCACTTAGAATTTTATAGAATCACTTTAAATACTTTTCAATAAGTTATAGATCTTGTACAGTTCTGGTTCAAATAAAGAACTTCATGTTTACTAGATTGTTATAACTAATTATTTTTGAGTTAATATTGCCTTAATGAACAGTAATTAAAAAAATGAACAGTAAAACTCTGAAACGTGACGCGGTTGAAAATTTGGGTGCACCTAAGAAAAAATGTTTGGCGCACCGGTGCAAACCAGTGCAAAAAGTTAGTCTAGAGCCCTGAACTTCACAATCAACCGTTCACCCTCGCTAAAGACCGAAGCTTTTATCTCCTTGGTAACCACGATTTACCATGCCGAGCTGCTAACTGTGTCTTCCTGAAAGTATGATGCAGTCGTAATGCATTCACACTTTGATTGACAGGTTATCATTTCTGCACTATTATCTCAGAAGCACTATTTCAGGTAGAAAAATGTTTGAAATCATATATTAATAATGAAACAAATGTACTTTGAATCTATCTTGTGTTTGTGCATTATCTGGTTTGAACTTGTGGAATGACTTCTCTTTTGTTTAAACCTGAGATTAATGTGCCTTATTTAAAAATATGGCCATTTGAGTAATCGTTTTGTTTGATATACTTCAAGAAATGTTTGTTTAGAGTTTATTTCAAATAATTTAATTTACAGTCATTTGGATTTAGTCTTATTTATGTTATGATCTTACCCAGTGGTGGGCAGCGCTAATTTAAATTTTAGTTCCTCAATTTTTAAAGCACTAGTCAATTTATTTAGGTCTGCAAGTTCAAAAGCACACATGCTCAATAAAGCGCAACAAATCTCTATTTACCAGAAAACATACAGGTAAGAGAAAAGTCAATGCTTTACTACCACCTAGTGGTAAAATCATTTTTCTTTAAAAGGGGCAATATTATGTAAAATCAACTTTTGAGTTTTATATCATGTTACMCTCTCATAAAAAACATGCCCAAAGCCTTGCTTTGACTCATTCATGCAAGTTTGAGAAATGATGCCTGATGTCTGCCTGTGGATTCTAACAGCGTGGAGCAGAGTGAAGAGTCCACCATCACAAATGGGTTCTGAAAGGCTGGACTGCTACGTGAAGTGGGCACCACAGCTTCAGAGCCAGCCCGGGAGGACAGCGACACAGAAACTGAACAGGTACCGCTGTGTGACGCAGCTTGTTTAACTCCGACACTGAAGAGGAGGATTTCGATGGTTTCAGTGCGCCAGAGGACGATGAACGAGACTTTTTGTTGGACCAGAAACAGTTAAAGAAAACTACCAAAATAAGGTCTGTTAAATGAACCGTATTCCTCCGAACTTTACCGGTAATTTCCAAAGGTTTGCTTTTTATGTTTTTAATTCCAGACCTCTCGCATTTTTTTTCCGAGAGTTTATTAT